GTCGCCTGCAGCCACTTTATACGGAAAAACACAAAGTTCTGTGCTCCGGCTTCCTCCCCACAACACACAGCATGCAACATTCATGCACCCATTCCAATGCGATCCGCAACCACCGCTTCAAGAAACGCATAGAACTACGCACACAGGAACAACCATTGTTGCAAAACACATAGAAGGAACCAAACGACCGCAGCCGCAACCGCCGCACAGACGAGGTACCTTTCATCGCCGGCTGCAGCCACTTTACACGGAAAAACACAAGGTTTCGTGCTCCAGCTTCCTCCCCAACACAAAGCCGATGCAACATCACCACTTCCCTTCTTCACCACATCCCTTCTTCACCACTTCCCTTCGTCACGCCTTCCCTTCTTCACCACTTCCCTTCCTCACCACTTCCCTTCGTCACCACTCCCCTTCATCATCACTTCCCTTCTTCACCACTTCCCTTCGTCACCACTTTCCTTCTCCACCACTTCCCTTCCTCACCACTTCCCTTCGTCACCAGTCCCCTTCATCATCACTTCCCTTCTTCACCACTTCCCTTCGTCACCACTTCCCTTCCTCACCACTTCCCTTCCTCACCACTTCCCATCGTAACCACATCCCTTCGTCACCACCCTGTGTCATAGCTTCTTATTCTTTTGTTATGTATTGTCATGTGATCTACCACCCTTCATCATAGTCAATTTCATCGCTTCTTATTCTTTCGTTATGTATTGTTAGATTATGTTTTGTTATGTGATCTACCACCCTTCATCATAGTCAATTTCATAGCTTCTTATTCTTTTGTTATGTATTGTTGGATTATGTTTTGTTATGTGATCTACCACCCTTCATCATAGTCAATTTCATAGCTTCTTATTCTTTCGTTATGTATTGTTAGATTATGTATTGTTATGTGATCTACCACCCTTCATCATAGTCAATTTCATCGCTTCTTATTCTTTTGCTATGTATTGTTAGATTATGTATTGTTACATGATGTACCACCCTTCATCAGAGTCAATTTCATAGTTTCTTATTCTTTTGTTATGTATTGTTGGATTATGTATTGTTACATGATCTACCACCCTTCATCATAGTCAATTTCATAGCTTCTTATTCTTTTGTTATGTATTGTTAGATTATGTATTGTTAGATCACGTACCACCCTTCATCATAGTCAATTTCATCAAGTAAAAGTCATTCGTAACTCGGAAGTATTGCTTCCCAACTTCCTTTGACAAATACATCTGGTTCCTGGCAGAAAAAAACTTGTATCAGCAAAACAACACACCAAAGCTCTGACAGAGACCACCGCGGCAATGGTGTTGCTCCTTCGTGCTGCAGTTCTTCTCGCAGAAGCAAATAACGAAATAGCTCGCCCGCATCAACAGCAGTTTCTCGTTTCAAAAATGGTAAGCCATCGCCCCAAGGAAATAAATCAGGAAACGACATTGCTCCCGTTGCTGGTTCAAACATTGACAGCGGATCATCTTGCGTAGGCACAACGAGCTTCGAAGGTCGGACTTGAAACATAGCAGCCTCGGCTTGTCTGTCACTTTCAGCGGTTCCCCGAGCAACCTTCTGAATGCGTCGAATCTTGCGCATGGTTTGTTGCTCCTGCAAACCTTCTCGTCCGAGCAATTGGCCTTCTGATGCATCAACTCCCTCAGCATCATTGTTTGCACGGTTGCGGATGACCGCTGCTGCATGGCTCCGACGTTGACCAGCCTGTCGAACGCAAACTTCCTCCACATCTTTCAAGACGCGAACCCATTTGTTCTTTTCGTCCGCCGCATCATTCAACCCAACAATGCAAGACATCAGATGACCTGCGTTCAAGGCAATCTACCATCTGAACCCACCGGCAGCAGGCCACAACCTGCCTACATCTTTACATGCAAATTACTCTACGACACGCAAATTTGTTTTTCGGTCTCTCACCACCCAAAACTAATCACAAACACATATAGTGAATGACAGCGCTGTGGTAACAAACTTGCTAAGCTAACAGTCAGAATTATGAGTTGACAGTCACCTTGCCGCGCCTGAATCATCAGCACCCTCTGCAAATTCTTCTGCAGCAGCCTGATCCCGCGTCTCCTCCTCTTGCCCCTGCAAAACATCTGCAGCTGTATCCTCCTTCTCCTCCTCCTGCCCCTGGGCATCCGCCGGTCCCTTCTGCAACAACTCCTGCGCCAATGCCGAATCTTCTGCTGTTTCCAAAACACAGCCTTCCAAGACATCTTCACCATCCGGTCGTACCTCCACTGCAGCGTAAAAAGGGCTGGTCTTGCGCAGGCACTCCACGGCGGCAGTGTACTCATCTCTTGGAGCTTTCAACAGTGTCGAACCACGCACTTGACATTTCTGACCACCGACAAGCACAAAAAGAATGGAGTCCTGCATGTCAACATCCTTTGGTGGAAGTGTAGAAAGCACAGCTGACGGCCGAGCCTGCGGCAAGAAAATGGTATTGCCGATGAATCCATGCTGCCGTTGTTCACGTTGCAAGTTGGCAGGCTGTAGGACGACAACCTGCATGCAAGCCCGCGTCATTGGTAGCAGGCGCTTGGTTGCCGAAGCCAAGCCCTGCAACGCGGCTGGCTGCGGCCCGATCCATAGATCATTCGCCAGGCTGTACCGTGGCAGGGTGAGCAAACTGGATGTCAGCGGCCCTTTGCAATCTCTGCAAACCAAGCATGCTTCCTTCACATCCTCTGGCATTCGCCGCTTGTGCAGTAGCAGCCACTGATCTTTCAAGTAAGGATGCTCCACAGCAGATCGGCGGAGCTCCTCTTCATCGATGTGCGGCCACCGTCTCCTGTAACGCTCCACTCCCAAAAGACGACACAGACGTTCTTGCTGCTTCCCAGGAATTGCTTCGATGGGCGTGGCTGCTCGCTCCTCCTGTCCAGTCGGGTCTTCAAAGAGAAACAGCAGCTTCAACTCATCTTTCCAAAACCGTCGAGCACACACAACGCAAGCAGACTCTTCTCGCTGCTGACCGGGGGCGCCGCAGTCTTGCGTCTGCATTCTGAATGAGCCGACGTTGGGTGCTGAAGCCAGGAACCTCTCAGCAACAGGTTCGCAAGCAAACACACTTACCTTCAATCGTCACGTATCCCACTGTTCCGATACATCTTTGCCCAGACAACACATACCCATTGCTTCTCCTAAAACTAAACAAGTTCCTGCCCAACAAAGCCAAGAAACATCAGGGCCCATATGCTCGATCAAACCAATGACCTTCTTGCGATATTCGATCAATGCTCGACTCTCATCCCCTGCTCCACGATGCTTCTCCACAAGATGCTCATGAAAGTCTTTCTGGTTGTCGGCGCTGAAAAGGCACAGGCGGCAAACATACCGATCCAGAGGTTCATCCACATCATCAGTGCTATGATGGAGAACACGGCGCGCCAAAACTTCCCCAATGCCGCTGATGGTCGGCGTGCAATCTAACATGGCAGCCACACGTTGCAACTTGATGGGAAAGGACATGTTCACATTTTCCAGAACTAAAAAAACCTCCTGCAGCAATGATGGACTCGAGGATTCTTCATCAACTGACAGCAAGTCCGTCAATGGCACAAATAACGGCTGTGGCACATAGCCTTCGTGCCACCCAGCGATGGAGTGCATCAAACTGCGTTCAGTCTCCGATCGCCATTTGACTCCACCTTCCATGTCATCCGACAACTCCAAGCAGTCCAACTGTAATGCTTGCACTGAATCCACATCAGAAGGAAAAGCTTGCCTCATGGAATCAACTATAACTTTCTTGTCTTTCCCCAAGTAGTTCTCAATCCTCTGGCAAAGCGATCGCTGCTCCTCCATGCTCGGCAACCGCATGCAATCGCTATCACGTTGCCATTCCACGATGTCATCATGAAGCTGCAGTACAACTGGCGACATGCCGTTCCTACATGCAAGGCCCAATGTCAAATACAAAGTTCACACACCACTTTTTTTTTTGCAACACCATGTTTCACACCATCTATCTGCAAAAGATCACCAAAGCTATCTTTCTTTCACGGGGAAAAAGTTGCAGTGTGCGGTTATGTGATCCTGCGTTTCAGATTCGCCACACACATCACCCCTTCCAAGCAAATCATGTCAACACTAACACATCTACTGTATATAGAATATTGTCATATAGATCTGAATTCTGAATACAGTCCTGGACTCGCGGAGCTCTCGCACCACCGTTGGATTGTGATGGCTGCGCTATGCTTCCAACGCCGGAGAACTCCGCGTGTGCAGCAATTCCAGAAGCAAGAACCAGGCGAACTCCACGCATTTCCTCTTCTTGTAGATGGAAGTCTTGTAGCATTCCATCCACAGGCAGGTTGGCACTTCTGGATCGTGCCTCTCCCAGCCATACCTGCGCATCAAGCAGCGCAGAACATGGCGTCCGCCTCATCCAACTTGCCTCGTCGCTGCTGTAGTTCGCCATCCTCCTCCACGACCAGAGCTGTGCGTCCCCATAAAATATCAAGGGCAGCCTCCACAGCAATGCGGCAATTCCATTCAAAATCTGATTGGCACATATTATACCTAAAGATCACACCTACAGATGCAAATCACTCAAATACGAACAGGTCCATCCAACCATTCCTTCTACATCTCACCAATCATCTCCCCTAACCCCAAAGCCTCCGCAACATCGGCGCGATCTTGGTAACCACTGCCAGGTTGCCATTCACAGTCCGATCTCAACGTGTGTACATCCCAAAGGCGTGCAGCGACATCATAAACATCGTGGTCACGTGGAAAATCCACAAGGCGACTCCAAGAACCTGCAACAGGGTATATCTATCTGCTTGAAGCAAAATACAATTCTCTTACTCTGTCAAGTAGTTTGATTTTCAAACTTCGGATCACACCCATCGCATCCCAACGCTCCAACCTAATTTCTGCATCGACACAATGTCCCGGCAGCTTAGCAAACACGTTAACAATGCAATGCTCTGGTGCCGGTTCTCTGTTCCGAGGCAAGTAAAAATTCCAGGCACATCCAGCAAGTCCTTGGGTGGTGCAACCGGCATGCGCGACTTGGCATCTTCGATGGCAGCCAGCACAGGCAACGTGGCATCCACAGCATGCGAGCATAAGTGCTCGTCACTCAAATGCAATCCTTCAACAGTGGACAATGATTTGCCGGACAAAATCGACAGTAGCCTTGTCCTGTGCTCCTTCGACGCCACTGTTTGCCTCAACAATTCCGTGCCAAGTGCTGCGTCGCTCTCACAGCATTGCGACACCTAACACCAAAGTCTTGCACCGATATCGTTCCGATCATCCTTTCTCTCCTGACCGACAATCAAAACAAAAGCTGTGCTTGTTTTGACATAACTAGTAGGTGAAGTTGCAAATTTTCTCAAGCTCTGAAAATGTCAGGATGTCAAAATGCATTGCTGACCTCCTTTTTGACAAGACTCAGTCGCTCAGCATTCCATTACAACAACACAAACATGCCATATCTCATCCCCACACCCCCGCCTCAGGAGCCAGATACTTCACCAACGATGCCCGAACTTTGGCGCCAGAAAGCGACTTTCCGCTGCCATCCACCAGCCCCAAGCCAGCCGCTGCGCTCAGGGACCGCAGCGCATGCTCTTCCATCTCACCAACAACCTTTCGAAGCCACTTCACGCCTTCCCGACGGCCACCCATACGAAGCTGCTCTAGTCTAGCTTTCAATGCATCCACATCATCATCCTGCTGCGAAGCAAAATGCAAACGTTAACAACTCAAGCAAACTTAGCAGAGAACCACAGTGCAGGGAACTGTCAAAGCATCCCCCAAAAACAACTATCCACACAAGTGCTCCCACTGAATCCACACTAACACCTTCTGTGATGCTACCCAAAGAAACTGTTAACAACTGAAACGAAGTCCTCACCAAACCAAACATCTTCCCCCAACAGACTCGCCTGCGGTGCAAAATGCTCCACGAGGGCATTGCGCAGCTCAGCCAGTCCCACCTTTGAACCATCTTGTCCGCGCGTAGACACACCACAAGCTGCTGCAACCTTCTGCAAGTCATCCTGTTTCATACTCGCCACCTTCTCTTGCAGCCACGCGAGTCCTTTGCTGCTGGCGTCCATACGAAGCTCTTCCACCTGTGCCGCATAGGCTGCGAAATTGTGGTGCACGCGGGCTCTTGAAGTAACATGTGGTTTCACGAGATCCGCTTCTACATACTCATGAAACGAACTTTGAAAACAGACACAAAACTCATCAATAACCAAGTATCTGCACAAAAATCTATACTTATATCATTATATCTCTATAACACTCCGTGCCAAGACCAGAAGAAACGTTAGGTGCCAGATTCCTGTGCAGAGCATTCCCCAAAAACAAGTATCCACACAACTGCTGCCACTGAATCCACACTAACACCTTCTGTGATGCTACCCAAAGAAACTGTTAACAACTGAAACGAAATCCTCACCAAACCAAACACATTCCCCCCGAAGACTTGCCTGCGAGGCAAAATGCTCCACGAGGGCCTTGCGCAGCTCAGCCAGTGCCACCTTTGAACCACCATCTTGTCTACGTGTAGACACATCAGAAGCTGCTGCAACCTTCTGCAAGTCATCCTGTTTCATACTCGCCACCTTCTCTTGCAGCCACGTGAGTCCTTTGCTGCTGGCGTCCATACGAAGCTCTTCCACCTGTGACGAAATACCGCCGCCCACATCTCCACGCTCCTGCCGCCGCATAGGCTGCGAAATTGTGGTGCACGCGGGCAGTTCAAGTAACATGTGGTTGCACTAGATCCGCTTCTACATACTCATGAAACGAACTTTGAAAACTGACACGACACTCATCAATAACCAAGTATCTGCACAAAATCTATACTTATATCATTATATCTCTATAACACTCCGTGCCAAGACCAGAAGAAACGTTAGGTGCCAGATTCCTGTGCAGAGCATTCCCCAAAAACAAGTATCCACACAACTGCTGCCACTGAATCCACACTAACACCTTCTGTGATGCTACCCAAAGCAACCGTTAACAACTGAAACGAAGTCCTCACCAAACCAAACACCTTCCCCCAACAGACTCGCCTGCGGGGCAAAATGCTCCACGAGGGCCTTGCGCAGCTCAGCCAGTGCCACCTTTGAACCACCATCTTGTCTACGTGTAGACACACCAGAAGCTGCTGCAACCTTCTGCAAGTCATCCTGTTTCATACTCGCCACCTTGTCTTGCAGCCACGTGAGTCCTTTGCTGCTGGCGTCCATACGAAGTTCTTCCACCTGTGACGAAATACCGCCGCCCACATCTCCACGCTCCTGCCGCCGCATAGGCTGCGAAATTGTGGTGCACGCGGGCAGTTCAAGTAACATGTGGTTGCACGAGATCCGCTTCTACATACTCATGAAACGAACTTTGAAAACTGACACGACACTCATCAATAACCAAGTATCTGCACAAAAATCTATACTTATATCTCTATAACACTCCGTGCCAAGACCAGAAGAAACGTTAGGTGCCAGATTCCTGTGCAGAGCATTCCCCAAAAACAAGTATCCACACAACTGCTGCCACTGAATCCACACTAACACCTTCTGTGATGCTACCCAAAGAAACTGTTAAAACTGAAACGAAATCCACACCAAACCAAACACATTCCCCCCGAAGACTTGCCTGCGAGGCAAAATGCTCCACAAGGGCCTTGCGCAGCTCAGCCAGTGCCACCTTTGAACCATCTTGTCTACGTGTAGACACATCAGAAGCTGTTGCAACCTTCTGCAAGTCATCCTGTTTCATACTCGCCACCTTCTCTTGCAGCCACGTGAGTCCTTTGCTGCTGGCGTCCATACGAAGCTCTTCCACCTGTGACGAAATACCGCCGCCCACATCTCCACGCTCCTGCCGCCGCATAGGCTGCGAAATTGTGGTGCACGCGGGCAGTTCAAGTAACATGTGGTTGCACTAGATCCGCTTCTACATACTCATGAAACGAACTTTGAAAACTGACACGACACTCATCAATAACCAAGTATCTGCACAAAATCTATACTTATATCATTATATCTCTATAACACTCCGTGCCAAGACCAGAAGAAACGTTAGGTGCCAGATTCCTGTGCAGAGCATTCCCCAAAAACAAGTATCCACACAACTGCTGCCACTGAATCCACACTAACACCTTCTGTGATGCTACCCAAAGAAACTGTTAACAACTGAAACGAAATCCTCACCAAACCAAACACATTCCCCCCGAAGACTTGCCTGCGAGGCAAAATGCTCCACGAGGGCCTTGCGCAGCTCAGCCAGTGCCACCTTTGAACCACCATCTTGTCTACGTGTAGACACATCAGAAGCTGCTGCAACCTTCTGCAAGTCATCCTGTTTCATACTCGCCACCTTCTCTTGCAGCCACGTGAGTCCTTTGCTGCTGGCGTCCATACGAAGCTCTTCCACCTGTGACGAAATACCGCCGCCCACATCTCCACGCTCCTGCCGCCGCATAGGCTGCGAAATTGTGGTGCACGCGGGCAGTTCAAGTAACATGTGGTTGCACTAGATCCGCTTCTACATACTCATGAAACGAACTTTGAAAACTGACGCAACACTCATCAATAACCAAGTATCTGCACAAAAATCTATACTTATATCTCTACACTACAACCCTCCGTGCTAAGAACCTCAGTGCAGAGAACTGTCAGAGCATCCCGCACAAACGCCTATCCACACAACTCTCCCACTGCATCAACACTAACACCTTCTGTGATGCTACCCACTGAAACCGTTAACAACTGAAACGAGTTCCTCACCGAACCAAATTCCTTCCCCCCCACAGACTCGCCTGCGGGGCAACGTGTTCCACGAGGGCCTTGCGTAGCTCAGCCACTGGCACCATCGCACCGCCAGGTCCCCGTGTGGACAATGCCACAGCTGCCGCCATTTTGCGCAGCTCGGTCTGGTTCATGCTCTCCACCTTCTTTTGCAACCATGCAATTCCTTTGCCGCTGGCGTCCATACGAAGCTCTTCCATCTTCGACGACAGGTCATCACCTACATCTCCACGATCCTGCCGCCGCATAGGCTGCGAACCCGTGCTGCACGCGGGCACTTGAAGTAACATGTGGTTTCACACGATCCGCTTCTACACGCTCATGCAACGCGCTTTGACAACTGACAAGACACTCATCAATAACCAAGTGTCAGCACAAAAATCCATACTTATATCTCTACGCTACAACACACCGTGCTAAAACCAGGAGAAACGTTAACAACTCAAGCAAACTTATCACAGAACCACAGTGCAGAGCATCCCCGAAAAACACCTATCCACACGACTGCTCCCACTGAATCCACACTAACACCTTCTGTGATGCTACCCTTGCACAGCGGCTGCTCATCATCCCCGGCCTCGGGCAATTCTGGGCGGCGAGACGAACTTGACGGCGAGGCCGCACCAGTGGTGCCAGAATCCCGTGCAGAAATGTAGTCAAAAAGCCTTTTCATCAATGCGTCCCTGACTCCGCTTGTCGGCAAGCTAAGCTCTTGCGCAATGACACGAATATCTTGAACCTTCAGCGCCTTGAGCTGCGTCCAAAGACCCTGTGTGCCACCGCTTTGCACGACACAGCGCAACCGTGCAACAGATTCTTGCACTTCGATCTTCGCACAAACCCGGCTTGCGAACTCTTCCTTCAAGCGAATCCCCTCCACGGACATGCCCAGCTCAGAAGCTAAAGCCTTCAATGCATTGATCCCAAGTTTGCGCACCTGGCGCCGGAAGGAATCAGCTCCTTCCTCTTTCAAGCCTTGTTGCAACTCTCGGAGTTTCTCGGACATTTCCGGTTGAAGCGAGCCGAAAGCAGCAACTTATAAAGGCCAAGCGAGATATGAATCTCGAACCAAAAGCTGCGCCGACCAGCTTCATGCTTTGACGAACAAACGGAACACAAGCTTGCAGTTGAAAGTCGCAAAATCATGCTGTTATACAAATAGACTTGCTCTATATGTCTCACTCGGAAGACGGGCAACCAAAAACTAGCTGCAAAACATCGAATGACTGCCACACACTGATGACAACATGCAGCAGGCCTCCAAAATCTCCGAAGACAAGCAGCACAGCCACCAAAAGAAGCTCTGGAAATGCTTACAGTCATGTCTGCTCGGACAGTTTGGGTAGCTAACAAAAAATGTTCATGCCAACCTCAGCAAAGAAATGTGATGCTAAAGTGTTACCCACAAAGTCCACAACCCCAAAATGAGTGAATCCAACTGTAACCTCATTAATCCATTCATATCTCTTTGGGGGTAAAATTAAACATGCCTACTAAACATGCCAAGCAAACAAGTCAGGATTTCTTAAAACTCGCCTGCGAGACCTGAACATGACAGAGATGACCGGATAACAAACATGCCAAACAATCAATGGGGCAAGAAATCAAAACATGTAAGCAAGGCCTGAACATGACAGGGCTGACCGGAAAATAAGCATGCCAAACCATAAACAGGTCAAGCAAACATGCACACGAACATGTCTGCGCGAAAGAAGATCTGGAAATGCTTGCGGTCATGTTTGCTCGGACAGTTCCGGTAGCAAACAAACAAGCGTTCGTGCCAACCTCAGCAAGGAAATGTAATGCTAAGGGTTACCCACAAACTCCACAATCCAAAAATCAGTGACTCCCAATGCTCTGGAAATGCTTACAGTCATGTTTGCTCGGACAGTTCAGGTAGCTAACAAAATATGTTCATGCCAACCTCAGCAAAGAAATGTGATGCTAAAATGTTACCCACAAACTCCACAACCCCAACATGAGTGAATCCCACTGTAACCTCATTAATCCATTCATATCTCTTTGGGGGTAAAATTAAACATGCCTACTAAACATGCCAAGCAAACAAGTCAGGATTTCTTAAAACTCGCCGGCAAGACCTGAACATGACAGAGATGACCGGATAACAAACATGCCAAACAATCAATGGCGCAAGAAATCAGAACATGTAAGCAAGGCCTGAACATGACAGGGGTGACCAGAAAAGAAGCATGCCAAACTATAAACAGGTCAAGCAAACATGCAAACAAATATGCCTGCGCGAAAGAAGATCTGGAAATGCTTGCGGTCATGCTTGCTCGGACAGTTCCGGTAGCAAACAAACAAACGTTCGTGCCAACCTCAGCAAGGAAATGTGATGCTAAAGTGTTACCCACAAACTCCACAATCCAAAAATCTGTGAATCCCAATGTAAGTTCATTAATCTATTCACATCTCTTGCGGGGTAAAATTAAGCATGCCTACTAAACATGCCAAGCAAACAAGTCAGGACTACGTCAAGTGCCAGCAAGGCCTGAACATGACAGGGATGACCGGAAAACAAACATGCCAAAGAATCAACGGGGCAAGAAAACAAAACACGTAAGCAAGGCTGCTTTTACACACACATTGCCGCTGTCACACAGAAACACCTTTTACACAGAAACCCTTCTACACACACACACACCATTTTACACAGAGACGCTTTAACACACAAACCCTTTTACACACAGACACTTTTACACACAAAAGCTTTTACACACAGACACTTCTACACAGATGCACTTCTACACACAGAAAACCTTTTACACACAGAGGCTTTTACACCCAGAGGCTTTTACACAGAAGATTGCGCACACAGAAGCTTTTACACAGAAGCTTTTACACACAGACACCTTTACACACAGAAACATTTACACACACACGCTTTGACACACAGACACTTTTACACAAACACTTTTACACACAAACATCTTCACACAGAAACACTCTTACACACAAACCCTTTTTTACACAGACACTTTTACACACAAAAGCTTTTACACACAAACACTTTTACACAGATGCACTTGTACACACAAACATCTTTCCACCGAAACACTCCGACACACAAACACGTTTACACACAAACACTTTTACACACAGAAGCTTTTACACACAAACACATTTAAACAGATGCAATTTTACATGCAATCACTTTTACACACAAACATCTTTACACAGAAACACTCGTACACACAAACCCGTTTACACACAAAGACTTTTACACACAGAAGGTTTTACACACAAGACTTCTGCACAGATGCACTTGTACACGCACAAACAATTTTACACACAAACATCTTTACACAGAAACGCTCGTACACACAAACCCCTTTTCCTGCGAAAGGATTACTCCAGCACACGAAAAATCGCAATTTTACTTCAGTATTTGCCGATCGACCCTCATTTCGTGCGAAAGGGTTGCTCCAGCACACGAAAAATCGCAATTTTACGTCAGTTTTTGCCGATCG